TGTTACCCAGTTCAGAGGCAAGATCATCGACAGCTAAGACCGGCCAGATTGTGCATCATCAGGTATCATCACCCATCTCCCAAGTGGATAAGTAACTTTCCCACCTAGGCAGAAAGTTTACAAAATATAATGAGACAAGTTTGTCCATTCTAACATTGTCGTTTTATGGGTAAAAATGTCATTATACAACTTATATGGGAATCGAAAGAAGATGGATAAGTGAACTCACCTAAGTAGGTGTTCCTCAGGAAACATTTGACTGGGTAAGTGCACTTACCTCTGGGTAAGTGGGCTCTTGAAAAACAAACAAGGCCTAAATGTCATGTGGACTTTCACAAATTTAAGCTGATTTTTGAATAACCTTGACAAATCATGCAATACAAGCAATTGCCCAAGTTATGAAAGATAAGTGAGAAGAAAATTTGTTGAAAATGCTAAATGGATTGGGACAAGGGAGGTGTTCTACAACTCAATTTTTTTTATTTAATTGTTTTTAAAACTGTCACATCAGCAAAAAACAAAAAAATGCTCTTCAATTGTGTTTTTCGTTTTGGGAAAAAATAAGTTAGTTTTGTTTAAAAAAAACAAATTCATGGTTTTGAAAGTGTAAAAATGATTTTCATAAAAAAAGAAACCTAAAAATGATGATTTTTACAACAAAAACAATTTTTTAAGTACAAATATTATATAAATTATAAAAGATGATGATAAATCAATAGACGAGAACATGTTTTTCAAACCAAAAATCCAAGAATATGTTTTTGGATTTTAGTTTTGAAAAAAAAAACACATATAATCAAGAACATGTCTTCCATGTTTTTGTTTTTAAAACCAACTTGTTTTCAAAGCAATTGATTTTGTTTGTTTTTAAAAATCACAACAACAAAAAACAATTCAGCATTGGAAAATATATCTAGGTTGCTCTTTCCTTATTGGCCCTACATGTTTTGATGATAACAAACCCATTGAAAGTACTAATAATTGATGTTAAGTCATTGAAGTGTACAATTATATCGTTTGCGGTAAAAGTGTTTAACAAAATGCTATAAGAACCAAAGCATGAAAGAAATGCATTAGACAACTATAAATAAACTTGAATCTCTCCAAAGAAGAAGACTACTGCCAAGAGTTGGAAAGAGAAAGCATCTAAGTCTATTGGTCTTCATTGTTTTATGTTTTAGGATTTGATGTAAATCATATGCATGAGATGCACTTTATGGCCTTAAACTTGACCAATCTCAATTAATCTACCTTAAAGAGCAATAATAAGTATTAGGTTTGGTTCTTAGCTCTTCTTAGACTCAAAAGTAATTAATTTAAGCTTAAAAGCCTAAAAAAAACAATTTATGTACATTTAGAATGAAAAACTCCAAGTTTTTAAAATTGAAAATTATGAATAATTTAAGTAGTTGACTACTCATAAATTTATAGTTGACTACCCTTGATAACCAAGGCTAGTGTTTTGTAAACACTATTTAATAATTGACTACCCATAGATCTATAGTCAACTAAACTTGATAGTCAAGACTTGTTTTGAATAAACACTATTTAATAGTGGACTACAACAAATCATATGTTAAGTATGTCTCACAACTAAAACTAAGATTAAGTTACTAGTCGACTATCAGGAGAAAATAGTCGATAGTTAGCATGGTTCTATATATTGATACAAGCTGATACATCAAATGGGGCTTATCAACTTATATTGTTGGATGTTTTTTTTTCAAACCTATTAGTTGTTAGGTTTGATTGACACCCAAAAGTCTAGTGGATTTTTAGTGGAATTATTAAGAAGTTGCCTAAAGAGAGGATGTAGGTTAAGGTTTGAACAAATCTCTATAAAAATCAATGTGTGCTTTACATTCTTGCAATTTTTTATTTTTACTTATTTAGTTTCATTTTTTGATTATTTTTGTTATCCCTTGCATTTTTATAGCACACACACAACCTTCCAATAATCATACATTTATCATATTAGAAGTCTTTAATTGGAGGAAATCATTTTAATACCCAATTCACCCCCTCTCTTGGATTGCAATACCCTTCTCTCTCTTTCATGATTTTTTTTGTGCATTGTATGTTTTTTATCAACTCAAAGCTATAAAAGATCTAAGGGTCCGTTTGGTTCGTAGTGTGAATTGGAATCGGAATCGGAATGGTCCATTCCCATAGTCTGTTTGGTTCAGAGAGGAATGAGAATGGGAATTAAAATCAGCAGGAATGGGATTTCATTCCCAAAGGAGGGGCAAGAATAGCCATTCCCTCAAATGGGGGAATGCCACTCCAGCAGGAATGGGAATGAGATTCCGATTCCGCCCAACCAAACAGTTGGAATCGGAATAGCCCATTTCGATTTCGATTCCAAACCTCTATTCCTGCAAACCAAACGGACCCTAATAATGTAAGATGTTTTCTAATAAAGAAGTGTATTCATCCTCACTAGTATACCAACTAAAATAATCTCTATATCTCTTACGTAGGATTGTCAATAGACTCCAAAAGTATGATACCTAATTTGACATCTAATATTGGGGGCTGGGGATGGGTTATCCCTGTTGTATAGCCCAAAAAAAAATGTATATAAGCTGAGTTTGGAAAGAGTACAAATGCAGATATATACTGTATAAATACATACAAAATAATGCAAAATATAAGGTTTTGCACTCTACATATTTGAATCTAACATTTTTTATGATGAATGAGATTCGGATGTAAGTGGATCCAACCCGAGTACAGCACTATTCCCTCCACACCGGAGGAAGAGTAAAAAGTTTATGTGACTGCATGTCTTCCTCCCCTCGTGTGACTGTACTCTACCAATTAAATAGTACCACACAGCAAATAAGGGAGGGTGGGTGTGGGGGTAAGCAAATAACCCCCAGCTAAGATATTTTTTCTTGGCGAGAGCTTTCCATTATATTCTTCCTTCATTTTATTATTAAATAGCTAGTAGCTAATGCCCTCACCAGACGTGGGTATTGTCCACCAAACTTGGAACTCCCCCCACCATTCCCTTATTACTTCAACCAAATTCTCACTTCCCACCTCCTTCCAACCAGACAAAACGCTCACTCGCATCTCCATCTCTACATCAACGTCAATTTGTCATGAATCATGAGAGCAGGAAGGCTTCCCCCTCTACCACGTATCCCCTCCCCCAGCTCCTCTCTCCTCCTATTTTTACCGCTCACCACATCCAACCCTACCACTATCACTCACCACTTGTTACTATTTTTTCTCCTTCCAACTTTTAACAGCAACACAAATGAAACCGAGACCACTCCCGTGACCTCCTCTCTTTTCTCTGTTTACACCTTCCATTTTTTATTTTCACCTGTTTGGATTGGTATGGTAAAAACTAAAAAGAGATACGCATTGCCAAAGCGGTACAAAGAGGGAGGACCGTGTCGCTTTTTTCGCGGTCCCATGAGAATCATATCTCAATTACACTGTTATCCGATACGATTAGATATTTCGTATTTGTGGATGATGACTCGGCGCCCTTTGAAACTGTACCTACTGACTACTTTTGCCGTTTTGCGCTTGCGCCCACTTATCGTAACGTTTCGCGATGTTTTCCAGTTTCCACTACACACCGATTTGCGGCAATATTGACTCGGTTTGGTGGTTCAGTCAGCAGTGGTTGTGGACCCACAACATGGGTAGGTATTGACTACTGACTAGCCGTTTCGGATTCAGATATGGCAATGACCTGATGATCTTATCTATCCAAATTGAATATCAATTTCAGTTGTTTAAAGGAGACCATAACGTATGATAGGCGTTAGTCATATGTTGAGTCCACCTATTCACGAGAGAAAAGTGTGTGCGAGCGAGAGAACTGGTTCTCGTTGTCGTTGGACAAGAATTTTTTTAGAAAAAATAAGGGATTAAGAAAAAATTATCTTCGTTGAAAAATGTTCCAAAAGCGATGTTGATAAACTCATAAAAGGTTTTACCAAAAGAAAAACTCATAAAAGGGACCTCGCAGTCGCAGCACGTGTCCCTCGACCTTCGTTGTTGCTTCGTTGCCGCCGCCGTAACAGGGGCGTTCTGTTTTGACGGCATCTAACAAAATTACGATAACGGAGTTAGGGATTGCGCAGGTGAAAGCATCGGTATCTTCGGGATGGTGGAAGGTGCTTAAACCTCGGACAGTTTCCTATCTGGAATATATGACGTGGCATAAGATTTGGTCCATTGGGAGAACGTACTTTGTAGGTAATAGCCGAGCGATAAGCCACTGACGTGGACGTGAGGATGTAAGTTGTAAGAGACTAATCAGGTCGGCGCCACTCAGGATTCAGCCAAAGACTTCAAATGTATATGGTATATTTATTCGATATTTTAGGAATTTCTCACGATATCTACATAATTACCATTTTGCCACAACATAATCAGCAAAGGGCCTCGGACCTGGCTATACCTATACCTATACCTATATATAAATATAATCTCACGATATCCCACGGCAGAAGATTCCAATTCAACGATCAGGTATCTATTCTTCGGAGGTGACTGTGATAGGCTCGTCACCCATTGGATGAAAGATTTTTCTCTTCTTTAATTTTTCTGTAAAGGTGAGGAAACTGGAAATGAGTTTTTTAAGCCCATTGGGCTAATGTCATACGGAACTCATCAGATCTGGATCTACGGTGCAGGGTTAATCAATCGCGAAGATCGATCAGGTCTGGCAGGACCGCAGGAACTCATTGTACGCGACGAATCAACAGCGCCTAAAAATATGAGTCATGGACTCGGGGGGACTTGGGGAAGGCTTCTTTTTGTTTGGGGAGAAATTAAAGAATAAAGAGTGTATTAATTTTTTTTCGAGTCGGGTCTCTATTTCGCGTTTAATTCGATTCTGTCTCATTCTCCCTTTTGGGTTTCTTAACCGTAGGGGTTAAAGATCCAACCATGGTTAGAATTGCGACTTCTGGGTTAGGGTCGGGTTAAGCTCGGGTCAAGTGGGATGATGCCTTTAAAAGGGAGGCCTTGCTGCTCTGCTCTCGCATCCCTCCCGTTGTTGTTTGAAGCCTTCACTCCTTACTGAAATTGCATGGTGGAATCATCCGTTTGCCCCTTCGTTTCTCATTTGTTTTAGGGTTTTTTTGTCCTTCTTTCTTCTTTTGATCTTCTGGTTTCTGGTAAGTTCTTTCTCCTCCTCCTCCCCCTCTCGTCCAAATCCTCTGTTTTAGTATTTTCCTCATGAGCTCTGCTGATCATGTTCCATGTTTGAAAATTTGATCATCTTTCTCAATTTCAACACCTTGTTCTCGGAATATCTAAAATTTTCAGTCTGGTTTCCGGTGGTTTCTACGTTTTTGTTTATCATGAGCTCATGGACAAAATCTACGTGAATTCAGGAACTTTTGCAATGAATGCTAATGCTTGATAACAGCATTTTACGCAGAGAATTTTTTTAGCGCAAGACATTTAAAATGTTAATCTTTAATGCCGATACGAACGGAAAATCGATCCACATAGTATTTACGATAGATTTCGGATTTCCTTTAATTTCTACGATAAGTTATGGATACCATTATTTCTGTTTTGATCTGTTGAGCAAATATAGATAACATTATCCCTAAATTTTACTTTCAGAAATTGGATTTTTTACAGTTATCTCTTATTGTGTTATTCTATTTTTTTTCTTCAAATAAATGTTTTCGTTCGTTCAGTATCTGATATAATACGTGTTGTCATGGTAATAAAAAACAGAAATTGCAGAGAAGAGATGGCTTCAAACGGAACCGGTAGCGGTAACGCAGAGTTCAGCTTCACGGGCGTCGGAACTGCTCGCAACGGGCTTGCCAGGATCCAAACTCAGAAGAAGCAAAACGGAATCTGTCATGACGACAGTGCTTCTCCCGTTAAAGCTCAGACGATCGATGAGCTGCATTCACTCCAGAAGAAGAAATCCGCGCCAACTACGCCGATCAAAGGAACGCAAGGCGCTTTTGCTACAATTTCCGAAGATGAGCGCCAAAAACAGCAACTCAAGTCCATCAGGTAGAGTCCCGTTTCTGAGAGATTTTTCTCTGCAGTGGAAGTTGCCCCTTGCCCGCGAATCGCACGGATTCAAAACAAATAATGAACTTTTGTTTGCTTGTTTTCTGTTTTCTTTAATGCTAGCGAATCAAAGCAACGTGTATGTGGCATCACGAAATTACCCTGCGGTTCATTTATGAGAGTACGTTTATAACTTTTGTCCTCTTTCTTTTTGAAACAGTGCATCTCTGGCATCGCTGACGAGGGAGACGGGGCCAAAAGTGGTGAAAGGAGACCCAGCTAGGAAATCCGAAACGCCCAGGGTTGTTCATTCGCATCAGCATACACCAACCATCGTCGTTAGTGACAGCGCTTTGAAGTTCACCCACGTCCTCTACAATCTTTCTCCTGCAGGTATAATACTCGTAAACTCCCAAACCAACCCGCGTCCTTTTCCTTTTTTGATTCCTTGCAGCTGCCGGAGAAAGGGACCTAGCTAGATTGCATATATTTGCATTGTCAAATTAATTATTGAGGACATTTCAAGTAGATAAAGCCAAGAAACGGTGTAAACAAAGGCGCAAATTTGCCTTCTTTTGACTTGTTCACATCACTGGGATTATGAGAAAATGTTTTCCCCTCTGTTTAAAGGAGATCTACCTTTTCACAGTGTATAAGAAAGCCACGTGTCCCAGGTTTTCAAAGCTGATTGCATGGTTTTAAGGAGCCTTTCGACTTTACCTATCTTGCCTGCTTTTCATTTATACTTTTTTCTTTTTCCCCAGATTTACTGATCTTGGATGTCATTCTTCTTCTATCTTCTACTCCACAGAGTTGTACGAACAGGCTATAAAATATGAGCATGGATCGTTCATAACGTCGAGCGGAGCGTTAGCCACGCTCTCGGGAGCGAAGACAGGTCGCTCCCCCAGGGATAAGCGTGTGGTAAGGGACGAAACAACAGAAGATGAACTTTGGTGGGGAAAGTAAGTCCGTTGCTCTATTATCTTTCCAGTTTCCATTTTCTAGCTATTTGAGCCATTTCTGTGATTTCGTCACGAACTCGACTTTTCTTGTTGACTAACCAGGGGCTCACCCAACATTGAAATGGACGAGCACAGCTTCTTGGTGAACAGAGAGAGAGCCGTCGATTACTTGAACTCGCTGGACAAGGTTTCTCTCAATTTACTGCTCTAACCCATCCAATTTGCTTATCATCGTAAATTACAATTTACTGCTCTAATTATTTATCATCATTCTCATCCATCTGTCTCAATCTCATTCTATAAATAAATTATTATAACGAATTATCATGATAGCTTCCTTTTTCGCTTGAAGATGATAACGTAACGTGTTATGTGTGTATCGTAGCTGCACATGATGGGGCCGGGCATTTACAGGCTTTGCATTAGAAATTCATCGAATTTGGTGCCTTGTCACCATTATTTTATTTGTTTTGAAACTTTCGGGGGTTCGGTGGTGGTATCTTTCTTGACGTCTTGTGTGAGTTGACAAGAGCAACTCCAGTCCGTTGGATAGAGTATGGGCCCCAACTTTTTGATGATTCTCTTGACCTTGATGTGATGATGTCATTAACTTTATTATTATTCACCGTGAAGAGGAAAAGGAGCCTTTCCTCCTTTTCCCCAATAGGAGCGAAAGCAAAACTCGAAAATATCTTACGGCTTTGACACGTTTTGTGTTATTGCTGTCCTTTACACTTTGCCATTTATTGCTGACTTCTGAGGGTGTGTCACTGGACTGTGTCGAGTGTGTCCTGCCCTGGCCAGACTGTCGTTTCACTTACCCTTCCGACGACGCTTCCGTATGTGTGCTATGTCGATATATGGGACCCACCACCCTAGTTACCCCTGTCTAGACTCTAGTTACACGGTCAGTGTGAGTGTGAGATTACTTGATTTTGCCCCTCCAGAAGAACTGATCACAGTGTTTGGGCTTCAAAGAAAATCCATAAAGATATAGATCAGGTTGCTAAGTAACAATAACAAGCCAGCGACTGTATTATGAATCCGTTTACCCAAATACTTGGTATATTTGTTTACCCATTTTGGATGTTGAGATAATAATGGTATTTAATTTTGCATTTGCAGGTGTATGTGAACGATCAATTTCTAAACTGGGACCCAGCGAACCAAATCAAAGTCCGGATTGTCTCAGCCAGAGCGTACCATTCCTTGTTCATGCACAACATGTAAGTAAAAGAATAGGATCAGTAATAGTAACAACAATTTAATCAGCTGTACAGTACAGTACCAGATAAGTTCTCCAACTGCCGACACTCGAACACTGTGAATGTGAATATATGATTATCTAGCTATCTCAGTTATTAAGTTTCTAACGCTGAAATAATGAATGCATGGTGGATTGGTATAGAATATATATTTTCCACAAGCTATATATATATATATATATATATATAGTAGGTCCCTTTGTGTTGTGTAAGGTTGGTGCAGAAATTCAACAAGTGAATTAGTTTAGTGAGTGTACAAAATGGATAACCGCGTGGGTGGCAGGTGTATCCGACCCACGCCTGAAGAGCTGGAGGATTTCGGTACTCCGGACTTCACCATATACAATGCTGGGCAATTCCCGTGTAATCGATACACCCACTACATGACATCCTCCACTAGCGTAGATCTGAATCTTGCTAGGAGGGAAATGGTCATCCTTGGCACGCAGTACGCCGGGGAAATGAAGAAGGGTCTTTTCAGCGTTATGCACTATCTCATGCCTAAGCGTCAAATCCTGTCCTTACATTCTGGCTGCAATATGGGCAAAGATGGCGATGTCGCCCTCTTCTTTGGATTATCAGGTATTGTATCAATGGATCGTTGTACCACCACGCCATCATCGCCTGCCCTTGTCTCCACCCCC